CCGAGAACTATAAACCACATAGTTGGACAGTGATGGTTGCTGAACAGTACAATGACACTGCTTTTGCAGCAGTGTCTTGCTGAGAGCTAGGCTGCATCTTGAATGACAGCATGTGTGGCAGACATCAAAACGTGTCTGGGTGCTATTGTCGGATATACAATTGTAGTTTGGTCAAGGAATTGGTGAAATTCATCTTTCTTTTCTTTGTATATATTACAGTGTTAGTAAGAGAATTTATGAAACCATCTGTCTTACAATCACAGTCATCTTGGCAAATTTGTGCTGGGCCTGTGCTCTGCCCAAAGGGGAGCAGATGTGCAGTATGGCCATATGTTGTGGCAATGCAGGTGTAGAGTAGTTGCATGAGCCTTGCATGTAACTATGGGGGGAAGATTTTTTAACCTTGCATCATTCCTTGTCAAATACATGTAACTTGTAGGGAGCTATTAGAATCTATACCATGTACCTATCTTATTTGGATTTTGTAGGAGCAGTGCAGGGAGGCAAACCCATAGCTTTCTAGATAAAGCTATGCAGCTCCACACTAGAAGGATTAGAGAAGGTAGGTTGAAGGCAGAGGGTAATGGATAGAAGATACTGAGTGAAAATTTCTGTATTACTTCCAGTATGCAATAAATTTTTTTGGCCAGTCTGGGAATTAAAGGAAAAAGAAAAATGTTAAACTGTTCAGGCCAGTAACTGAAAATTATCTGATTTGTGAGACCAGCAGGCGAGGTAGTATTCAGGCAATCTGGAGCACAAAGACCATTCCTTTCACAGATAAATATCTCAGTGTTTTTTATTTTTTTAGAGTCAGTTTATTTTCTGACACACTTTTTTAAACGAGTGATTTGCTTTATTCCTTTGCCTTTACTTTGATTTCACTACTTTGCTTTGCTTTTCTACTTTGGAACAAGACCTAGCCATTCAGGATTTGGGCCCAACACAATTCTGCAAAATTGATTAGGATATGTATGAGGTTCTGCTACTCTTGTAATTGCAGAGCAGTTCTGACAAAGATGTGCCAACTTGAAATCAAAAATTCAGTGGGAAACCCAGAGTTTAGAAGGTATTTGGGGTGCATTCAGCCTGGTGTCTGTGAGCTGTGTGAATTGAATATCTAACTGGAGATTGAAGTACATTATATGCTCAGGTCTCTTGAAATTATTGTGAGTTATAGGTTTTAATTCCTTATAAAATAATGCCTTACAGCTAGGGAAAATCAGATTTTCTCAAGTGGATACTTACGATTATCATAACAGATATGACCAATAGCCCTCCCAGCATGAAACAACATTTCTTGGTCTGTGCTCTCCAGCAAAGGTATCAATGTTAGAACCAAATCTGCTTCAATACATGGTTTCTTCATTTCCTCTGTGTAGGTAAAGGAGAGGGATTTGTGGGGTTTTGCCATGTTGGAATAAAACAATTGCAATTGCAGTAAGAACTGATAGCCGTGACACAAAATTCAAGAGTGGGAGCATACAACTAATGTGCTGTAATATCCCTTGTAGGAACACTTTAGCACAACTTACCATTTTTGGCTATCTCTGAAAGCACGTGGGCTGCTTTTATTGCACATTGTGGATTGCCCTTCAGGATTTTTGCCAAAGTTAGGAAGATCCCACTCTCCCTGAGTAGGTGGAAGGATCTCTGCTCTGTAATGATAAGAGTGTTAGCAATACCTGGTGTACGTTTGCAGCTGGTTTATTTACATGTTCCTTTGTTTCCTAGAGTTCTGGGTGGGTATCTGTGGGATCCAAGGTTGTGATTTAATAAGGTGCTTAAAGGCTGTCTCAGTTTAAATATAAGGAAACAGTCACTGACTTGAATTGCAGCAAGTGTGGTTCCAGCTGATTACTGCGGTTCATATTGAATTGAAGCACAGGTGACAAAGCAAAGATGAAAACAGTTTCATCTTCTCTGAGTATAAAAGGATGCTTGCATAACATATGGGAAGTCAGGGATTTAGATGTTATTCCTGAGGTATGGCCTAGCAATTAATTTTGCAGGTAGGCACAGCATCTTTTATTAGACAGCAATTAGAATAGTGATTTCCCTTAGCCTTTTTTCATCAAAAAATATGACTAGCTGTCCTTAAGGTAGTAAATCACAATCTGCCAGGAGATTCAAATAAATGCAGTTTTATGTCATTTTAGGAGAATGTGCAGATACTTTAAGGACTTCTGTATAAGGAGACTAGGAACTTCTTTTTAAATGCCTGACCTGATAGGGTCACCCTAATTTAATTCTAGGAGTTTGTAGTAAATAGAATATTAAATTCAGAATTTCCCTGCAGCTTCAGGTGTTTTAGTGACCAGAAGCTTTATCAGGTCACTGGTAGATTTCAGAGTATACTGAGAGAAAACAAAACTGCCTGAGGACAGCAATAGTTCCCACAGAAATCACATCTTGAAATACAGATTATCACAACAGACAAAACCAATGAATGCTTTTGGACTGTGCAAATAGTTAAATGGTGATCCAGAGTGATACTTAGCTATCTTCAGTAAGAGCCAGGAGAATCCCATTCAAACTTTCAAGGATCTGATCTTCTGCTTCTGTGTCATCACCACAAAGCCCAAGGTATCCCAGGTGCTTACTCAGCGTTTCTAAACAGAATGGAATAGAAAATTGTGGTGAGCCATGTAGGAAATATTTGAGTTCTTTGTGTCAGTTCTTTTCAGTGCCAATGGCTGACCATAAGATCATTTTTGAAGGGTTGAGATCTAAATATGCTCATTAAATAACTGCTTTAATCCAAGAACATGAGGTCAAAGGCTTGGTTTGCTTCTCAGACAGCACTTAGAATGTATCTCTGCATGCTTATGCCTCCACAAGAGCTATCTGGAAAAAGAAATTAACATAAAACAACTGTGGCAGAGTGTGAGGTGGGGAAGAGAGAGAAATAAATACAGGACCCAGATCAAGCCTGTCATTTCTAAATGCATGTTTATCATAAAGATAGTACTTGCAGTTCAACTAGCTGAATATCTACCCTGATAGTAGCCAGTAGTAGGCACTGAAAGAGTGCAAGAAACAAACAGATGTGGTAACATACTTCTCCCTTGGTTTCTGGCATCCTTGGCCTTTAGAAATTCACCTAGTATTTACATCAATAAATGTAATACATTTGGATTGACTTTTATTCAATAAATTTGTTTACCTATTGAAGTTAATTCATAGATTTTTATCTCCACAGCACACTGTGACATTATGTTCCACAGTTTCACTGTTGTAAGAGGAAGACACTTCTCTTTGTTTCAAAATGTCTGCAAAAAATCTCAAAGCCTTTGAGTTGCTGTAGTAAGAGAAAGGAAGTATCCTTCAGTATTTGCCCTTCCAATGCTTATCAGGATCAGTGGATTTTTATTATAGCCCTACTTTGTAATTCCTCTGACAATTCACTTAATACTTACAGAACCTTTGATAACTTGCCTGAATCATTTTCCAGTTCACCTTTTTTTTTTTTTTGTTTTGTGGAGGAACTAGAAATTAAAAGTATTCTCAAGACTCAGGTGGACTGAGATTAAGACAGAGACTGTAATGTTTTGTTTTCTATGTTTTCTACTCTATTAATTCTTTGTCTCTTTGAGAGCGTTTATGTGCAGCTATTCAAAAATGACTCATCATGAGGGAGTTAACTTAAACCCCACCATCATTCATAATTAGGTCATCTTTTCCCCGTGTATGTGGTTTTGCATTTACAGATGTGCCTCTTCATCCCAAGTCATACAGGATGATACAATTTTTCTGCAGTTCTCTACAGTCTGTTTCAATTTTGAGCACTCCAAATAATCAAAAAACTCCTTACCATTCTGCTGTTTCTAGACAGCTTACAAATATATTGCATGACACAGGTTCCAGCAAACATAACCTCTAATAATTTTGACTTTTCTTTGTGAAAGCAGTCTTTATTCTGCTCTTCAGTCTTCATCAGATAACCTTCTCCCATATCCCAAGATAACTTAGAAAAACCTTATTGAAAGGTTTGTAGAAAATGAAATCCATTATTAGCAGTATCTCCTTTATTGACCTTCTTGCCAGCTCCTTAAAAGTATATTTAAAGAGACAGGTTGAGCATTACTTGCTTGCACAAAACTCATATAGACTGCCCTTTTTTCTCATGTCTATGCTTAATAATTCTGTGCTTTACTATAGTCCTGCATTTTACCTACACAGAAATCAGATTTCTCTACTTTCCTGCATTCTTTGCAGTTGTTTTTGTAAACTCATCCCAGTTTTACTGCTTTCCTGTTGTTGATCTAAATCGTATTCTGCATATCATAGTAAATGAATTGATGATTCATTTCTTAATCCCGTTAAAACTCTGGAGTATAACACTCAGTTCTGTTGGTTACCACTTATTTGTTCGAAATCTGCCCTTTCAATATAAAGATTCCTCCATCTTTTTTCTGAAAACAAAAAGACCTAAAGTGGTTGAAATGAATGTAAGATATAATGTTGGAAAACTGGTGTCTGAAGTAGTTAACATATAGTAGAACCTAATGTAAGATGCTACTGAAACTTTAGTAAAATAGTGTTTCTACTTTGCAAACTATTTCATTGAAAACAACGAGTCACGAGTCTTGCTCTAGAAATTACTCACTGAGGATTAATGATTGATCATTTATTGTTGTTGTTTGATTAATTAACTTTTTTCTTTCCTTGATGTGTCTATTAGTTAATGTGAGATTTTTTAAAAAATGCATAAACTTAGTGCATACAGGGATTTACTTCAGAGGAACCAGAAGTGACTTGAGCTATTTTGAAGAGAGGATGAAGTATAGGGAGTGGAAGTAGAACATAATGAAAGGCCATTACTGTCCCTTGAGAAGAAAATTTATTTGGCTTAAAAAATTAAAAACAGTTATTTAGGAACAATGACAACTGTGGTTTCTTGCTTTAGACAAGATACCATCTTTAGAAAACTGGCTGGATTCACCAGGTCCAGTTCTCCTGCCAAAATTTGCTGAATAAATGATTTTGTATGAATAAAGTACAGTAGAGTGCAGATTTTTTTACAAAAAAGACCAAACCACCTGAACAACTTGATAACTGAATCAGCTTTGATTTTAAACTAGATCTAGTTTGAGTGGGCAGATTGCTGCAATTGCTGATAGAGCAACATGAAAAACATGAGGAGCCTGTGAGAATGAATTATCTACTGAACTCTGATTTCATCTTTCTCAAGACCCAAAATATGTTGGCATTTGACTTCTAGTACTGCATCCTCTAATTAGAGTAATAGTGATATTTTCAACTACATTTCCAATATATATAAAAATATGTAAAGACAGCTGGATCTCTGAAGCTGAAGGAAGTTGTTTTACAAATAGTAGAGAACAGTCTATACTCATCACTCACATTAGCTTAGTATAGTGGTAATTTGAAATCCAGATGCTTTGTTATTTCTCCAGGGAATAGATCAGTAGTATAACACCATATGCATGATGACAGACAAAGTCCATCTAAAATATCCCTCTGGTTATAGTCTGTAGTGTTTTGAAATGAGTAGTATGAGCAACAAAATCAACCAAATAGCTGACTGCAAAGCTGCTTTTATAGAAATCTTGCAGAAGGCAGTATTTAACTAGAACAGTGTTAAAATACTGAACCCTTTTCTTAAGATACTTGGAATTTTATCATGTTTGTTATTTAGAAAAACTTGATTAATTTAATGCACATGTGGCTGATTCCTCAATATTCCTTGTGTTTAAACCCATGCACACAGATTATGACTAAAATTGACCAGAAAAGGTTATTTCTGTTTCATGGAAAATTCTGGGTTGTTGACATTTTGTTTCAGCCCATGCTGGAACAGAATGTTGACACGGTGGAACTTCAGGCAAAACAGAACAATTTGTTTCAGTTTTTTTGGCCAATGTGGTTCTCTGCCAGCTGGGGGCTGCCTGGCAGGCTGGCCTGCTGCCCAGTCGGCTGGTAGGCAAGCTGTAAGGAAGCCAACCAGGCTAGCCAGCTGGTCAGACAGCAGGGAGTGCCTGCCTGCCTGGCTTTTGTGGAGGCTTTTAGCAGGATAAACGTGTTCTCAAGGAATATTATTTGTTCTCTTGAATCAGCATTTTTATCAGATCAGTTGATCAGCTTTAGTAATTCACCACAGAAACAGGGGAAATGGGCTCAGGCTCAAATTTTACTTTCTCACCAATTACCTACATGGTCTGAGTTTAGAAATCTCTTGAGAGTGAAGTACAAAAGGCTTTTTGCCTGAGGTGGAGGGATAGACTATTAATTCATGCAGAAGTCTGAGTAGAGGGATAGGAACCAGGCTTTTGCTGTGGGATTTGTTTTTTGATCATACTAATGAGAATGGAAACAATAATGGGAACGCTGGGGGAACGGGTCGAGCTCTGTGCAGGTGGCAGTGGCTGTTCCTCTCCAGCCCTTGAGCCTTAGCAGGTAACTGCAGCTCTGCACTGGAATGGCCTTGGTGACCACGTGGCTCTGATGTGAGCCCTGACATGGTGGTTGACCACATGGCCTTGCTCCAAGCCCCGAGATGATGCCCAAGCTCCTGGCTCTGCCTAAAGTGCAGGTACAAGTGTGAGCTCACGCTGGGACAGGCCCTGGGCAAGGGGAATGGATAAAAGGACAGCAAGATGAGCACCACATGGTGTGCCCCACTGCCCTGGGTTGGAAGGTGATGGGACCATGCTGGATTCATGGGTGGTGAC